TCCATCCATCCATCCATCCATCCATCCATCCATCCATCCATCCATCCATGCAGGTTAAATCTTTATTTTGAATCTTTCAAATATTTTTTAAAAGCTTTTGAGCCAAATGTGTACTTTTGAAGAAGATTTCATACAAGATAAAGAAAACTGCATCCATCTGAGTGAGAAAGGAAACAATCTTGTCTTGGCTGCAGAAACTTATAAATTCATGGAGGCTTTCAGGTAACCATAAATAAATATTATGAAAAAATAATAAGTATTTTCTATGGTTATTAACCCTTTCACTGCTAGAGGCTAAAAGGGTCCAACACACGCTCTTCCTGGAACATAATGAGGGTGTTTTTTATTTCTCAATATCAAAATGAAAAACATATGCTCAGAAGATATTGAGGCCTTATAACACACATCAAAGCAGTTGATAGAATCTGATTGGTTAGTGATCCAAAAAACAATAGCCCATGTGTTTCAACACATAGAAATGTCCTAGGGGAGGGGCGAACGGTGAGCTTGCAATGATAGAGAGCTTTTTTAACACCTTGAACAATTATTATTCACATGTCTCTATCATTGCAAGCTCACCGTTCGTCTTGCTTCGATGCAAAGGCACAGCTACCTTTCAAGATGGTGCAGGGAACTGTGAAGGGGACTATTGAAAAGCAAAAATGTCTTTCTGCTGGCTGCTTTTGGCCACTCTAGGAAAAATGTAGCATTTCTGGTTGAAAGGGTTAAATGAGCCTTGGCTTTGTCAATCAAATTTTTGATGGGCCGAGTGCATTCCTAGTCACAAGAGACAAATATTCATGCAACTGAACAGCCATTTTCCCATGGGAAATAAGCTGTTGAGTAGCAGGAATATTCTAATATCGCTCATGATCAGAATGCACTCTGCCCATCACAAATTTGATTGACAGAGGAAGTTTTCTGGAGGTGGTCAGTTCCTAGAAACCTGGCATGGGCTGTATCTTTGTAACACTGTTTCAGTTAGGGACGGACCATTAGATATTTGAGGGGGGTAGGGGTAGGCCATTTATTTTGTGCAGGAATGTTTTTACACCTCATGGCTGTGCAGAAATGTTTTTGGACATAATTTGGGATTCGTTTCTGGCATTTTTCTTATGCACGATTTCCCCCCACCCCCCACCCCGCTCTTTAAAGCTGTACAGCAGCAGGTAGGCGGACTCGCGGAGGGGGTACCGGGAGACACGGGTATTACCCGCGCCAAACCCTATGCGTCGGCAGCGGGTATTACCCACGCGATAATTCCCTTACTGCTGCTGTGTTTACGAGAGTAGAAAAGGTAGCCGAAAATGGTTGCCGAAACAATGGGTAAAAATATACTCTTTTAACTGCTGCTGTGTTTGCGAAATCTATGTATTAAGTTAAAATATTTGTGTCGCAAACGAAGGTTA